CTGGCTGGAGTTGTGGGGATGGAACCACAGCAACCTGAGCCTGACTGCTTTGTTGAAGCAGCCACTTAAAGAACTGAGCTAAGGGGCAGGCCCCCCATTGCATCAACTTGAGAAGTTTAAAAATTTAAGCCACTCAGCAGGGAGCCACAGTCCTCACTCAACTTTGTAAACATCCTCATTCTGTGCAAGACCAGAGGGTGGATATTGTGTGAGTTCTACACCTGCCCTGGGGAGAGGGAGAGAGCCTGCCTACAACACAAGGGAGGAAAAGCAGCTTGCTCCCCTCTTTTGCTCATGTTGCTTTTGCTATCTTCTGCCACCTTAAACTGTTGTCCCTTTGCCATGCCACCCTGCCATGCAGCCAGCTTATGGACTGAAACCTCCACAAACTGAGCTGAATTAAGCTTCCTTATTTTGGGGTGTCAGGTATTTTGTCTCAGCAAAGAGAGAAAAGTAACCAACACATCTGCAAAATCTAAAAATATCTACTATCTTATGCCTGACAGAAAAAGTATGCCAATCTCTAACACAGCTCCACCTAATCAGTAATTGTTAGAAGTATACCTTCCAAAGACTCAATGCCAGTTGCTTGTGCCAGTAAATCTTCATGTCTTGCAACAACCTGAAAATCAAGAATGAATAATCAGAATTTATTCTGATTCTTTAAGCTTTTTTTTCTGTACCCATAGAGTAGAACTAAAGATCTCACTTAGTATATAGAGGGGACACGTAATAATACAAATGGAAAACAAAAATACAAATGAAAAAATTACTCATCTCTTTTTGAGATGAGTAACAAGAACACATACACATTTATTGTTCACCACACAGCCCTATCTTAGCCATTTGAGTTACTAAAAAAAAACTCTTATCAACTTGATAATTTATAAACAGGGATTTATTACTCATAGGTCTGCAAGAAGAGAAGCGTAATATCAAGGTGCCAGCACACTCAGTGTCTGGTTTTTCACCATAAATGGTGCCTTCTATTTGTTCTTATGTGGTGGGAAGATTAAAAAAATTCCCTTGGGCCTCTCTAACAAGGTCACTAATCGCATGCCAGAGAATTCCACTTCTTTTCACCCTAGTACTGGAGATTGGATTTAGAGCCTTTGCCCTGAGGTATAACCTCAAGCCCTTTGGTTATTTTTGAAGCAGGATCTCACTAAATCACTAAATTGCCCAGGATGGGTTTGAATTCATAATCCTCCTGCCTCAGCCTTCCAGAATGCTAGATTACAGGTATGTGTCACCACACCCAGCTTCGTCTTTAAATATTATCACAGTAATGATTAAGTTTCAAGATATGCGTTTTAGGGAAACAAATTTCAGACCATAGCAAGCCCCCTGCTTTCCTAATGAGATGCATAAGTGGAAGTGTGTCAGATATGGAAAAATCAGCTAATTCTTGATATGCTGTTATTATGCTTTCCCTTTAAAAAATGTTTAAGTTCTCTTGGTTCTTCAACTTAATTCATCATCAGCAAAACCACATCCTACTCTGAAAAAATAAAGCACTCAGTTCCATCTATCTCTGGATCTTTCCCTGCTTTCAGTTTCCTAGTTTCACAGCAAATCCTTTCCCTGTAAAAGACAGATAATTTCACCAGAATTAGGACAATGTGAATGGTTTTAACAAAATAGAGATCAACTGTTAAAAGCCCTCGAAAGGCTGAGGAGACTAAAACAGTACATTCTCATAGATGCTCTTGCAGCCAACCAGATAAATCTGTAAGAGATGTAAGAAACGGAAGAAAGATGAAGGTTGTCTTCCTCTTTCTGCTCCAGCTAGTAAGCAAGATTTGAAGACATGAGATTTAGAGACAGGTAAAAGGCCTATAGTCATCATTCTAGTGTCCGCTCTCCAGCTATCTAGAAGCAGAGCTCCAGCAATGGCACCAGAGGTGACTGCATAAGCTCACAGACCTTCATCCATCATCAATGGTTCAACTCACCCCCGACTGTGTCCCTAACAATTTCATAAGCACCCAATTCTCTGTACTAAATATTTTTGTTTAAATACCTAAAATGATTTCTAATTCCTACATTAACCTCTCACTAATAGTAAATAGTACTTTTAATTTTGCTGATATATTAATAACTTTTAGGGCAGGTGAAAAAGATTAATAACTTTTATTGTATTTTATTACATAGCATTATCCTAATTTTGCTTCCACAGAAAATGTTAAGTTCACATCTCACACTACAAGTCCAGAGCCTTTCTCTACCCACATTCGAAACTACTGTAAGTATGCACTGTCTCATTTAGGACATAGTAAATACATTTTTACATTCTTATTGATACGTGCAGAGAAGGGACTACATGCAAAGAATAAGGAAAACAATGAGTACAAAAAAAAAAAAAAAAAAAAAAAAAAAAAAAAAAAAAAAAAAAAAAACCAGAAAGAGGCGCTAAGGATATAGCTCAGAAGTCTAAGCACCTGCCCAGCAAGCGCAAGGACCCAGGTTTGATTCCCAGTACTACATGCTGTGCCGGTCCCTGGTCCAGCCCAAACTGGTCAAGGTAGCACATGCCTGTAATCCCAACACTGAGGAGGCTGAGACAGGAGAATCATTACAAGTCCGAGCTACGTAGAGAGACCCTGTACCAAATAAATAAAGATTAAATAATAGTAATAATTTAAAAAAAACAAAAAGAATTTCAAGTGGCTCTTTCAAAAAGTCATCCCCTGAGAATTCCAAAAAAATTTCTCTCCTGCCCCCACAAACACCTTTCATTTCTGTATTTAAAACAGGCATCATTTGCCAGCTATTATTTTTCTCTTTATCTGTCACTGATCTGAGTCCATGACTATGTTACTTCATATCTGTATAACCTAACCCAAAGCCTGACAATTAAAGTGCCTTCTAAATGTGCCAATCAATAAGGAACTTTAATGCTTAATCAGAATTTTTAAGTTAACATGACATTAGAAATCATCCCAATCCTTGTAAACTGTTGTTTTAAATGATTTAAAAATACGTAAGACAAAAAAAGGTTAAGTGGCTACAACTCATGTATATACCAGATCTAGGTTTCCCAGTAAGTATTTATTTGTGAATTTGTTATTTATCTATTTACTACTCAGACAGAATTGAATACTACAAAGTATACCATAAAGCCAAACAATAATTAAAAACTACAGAAATGTAGACTAGGAAGGAACGGTTAAGATTCTGTACTATAACCTCCTGTTAGACATTCCAGCTCATATAAATAAAAACAAAAAGCAAGACTCAAAAATATTAAGTGATATGAAAGTCAACAGACATTATGGCTAAGATTAGTGTGTTCAACCCACCTCATTTATCAACTATTATTTCAACAACTGTTACACATGTACTAACAAACTACCAGTGTAACATCCCAATTTTCTTATCAACATTATTCTATTTCCAAAATTCCTTTTCTATTATCTTTATCAAAGACTTTTTTAAATTTTTTAAATCTTTTATTTATTTATTTGGTAGAGAGCCTCACAACACAGCTTGGACTCATAGTGATCCTCCCATCTCAGCCACCCCAGCATTGAAATTACAGGTGTGCGCCACCACGCCTTGTTTTGGTGGCTGGCTCAGTGCATCCTGGGTTCCAGGGCTGGTTTGGCATGCATGACCGGAGATCGAACCAAGGTCCTTATGCTTGCCAGGCAGGCACTTAAACTGTCAGGCTACCTCTCCAAGACCTCCTTTTTTGCACTCTCTATTCACTGCACACCAATTTTGATAGTGAACAGGAAGAATGAATAAAAGATTTTGGAGAAATAAAAACTGTATTTTCAACTAATAAAAAGTGGTTTACAGAAAATGCAAACTGTAGTTTAGAAAGTAAATCTTATTGCTTAATTATGCATTTATTCATGTAAATACACAAATAGATTTAACAATAAGTTTACAAAAAGGCTAACTTATCTCTTTAGGCTGAATAATCTGTGTGATCCAGAAGATTAGATTACCTGTAAGTGTAGTTCTTTATCCAACTGACTGATTCCTTGGGCAAGTTTGGCTAGTTGTTCAGCAATTACAGCTTGATGAATAGATTGAGAAGTGTAAGTCTTTACATCAAAGTCTTCATTTAAAAAGTCACTGTAACACTCTAGGAAAGAAAGAAAATTCCCTAATTATCCTGTAGTAAACCAGCTACTGAACAACAAAGCAATTACAATCATTGTGAACATATTTTGACATCTTTCTAGGTATTAAGGACTGTTGTAAATGTTTCCCACAACAAGAAAGAAGTAGAGCAGGCAACTAAAAAAAAAAAAAGAAGTGACTCTTGCTGGCAAGTTCACCACGTGCCAGGCATTAGCCCAATCACTTTAAATATACATACTTATTATTCAATCCACACATTACCTTGTTGAAACTATGCCAAATTCACACATAAGCCAACAAGCACCAACATGGCAGACTACTTGTCCAATGAAGGCCACTGTCTGAGATTTTAACCTAGGAAGTCTAACTGCAGAGCTCGTATTCTGAACCACTCCACTACAGAGCTAAATGCTTACTTTTATACAAACCTAAAATGAAGAAAAACACAATTACTAACCATAGCATTTATTCCAAGAAAATAAGCACAAGAAAGAACACAACAGAAAAACTAGTCATAATATTTATGGCCTCATAGAAATATTCTAACTCCACTAGAAAGCCCAGAATCTAATAGACTCACTAATGAATTTTACTGGAACTTCAGAGAATTAATCCCAATACTCCCAGAACTCTTCTGTGATACTGAAAGGGAAGGAGTACTGCCAAACTCATTCTTTGAGGACAGCATTATCCTGATCCCAAAACTGGGTCTCAACAACGACAACAAAAATCCTACACAGAGGAACACAAATGCAAAAATCATCAAAAAGATAATGCCAAACAGAGTAAAAATCAGCTTTATCCCTTGGAAGCAGAATGGTACAACATAAATGTAATATACCACATAAACAGAAATAAAGATTTTTTTAAAAAAACCATATGATTATCATAGATCAGAAAACCCTTTGACAAAATCCAACGTCCCTTCACGACAAAAAAAAAAAAAAAAAAAAAAAAAAAAAAAGAAGGGTCTTACCTCAAATTGATAAAAGCCATGTATGCAAACCCATAGCCAACATCACCAAATGGGAGAAGAGCACAAACTCTTTGTAAAATCAGAAGCAAGACAAGGATATCCAGTCTGTCTACTTCTGTTCAATACAGTATTCAAAACTTTAGCTAAAGCAATTTAGCAAGAAAAAGAAATCAGATGTAACAAAAGTAGTCAAAGGACCAACCAAATAACTCAATAGATTAAAGCGCCTGCAAGCAGGCACAGGGGCCCCGAGTTCCATCCCCAGGTCTGCCAGGGGACATGCTGAGATGGCAATTGAGACTGGATGTGGTGGCACGCCCCTGTAATCCCAGCTCTTGGATGGTTGTAAACAAGCAGATCACTAGGAGTCTGATCTAGTAGTGAGACCCTGAACACTCTGTAGTCCCTTCCCTAAAAATACAAAAAAAAGGAAGAAGTCAAACTATCTTTATTTGCAGATGATATGAATCTTTATACAGAAAACTGAAAACATTCCACAAGATTCTTAGAGCTAATAAACTCAACAAAGTGGCATATACAACAAATTAGAAAAATTAATAGTGTTCCTGTGTACTAGTAATGAATCCACCAAGAAAGAAACCAGGAAAACAATCCCACCCACAGTAGTTTCAAAAACAAAAACCTAGAAATCAACCTAAACTAGCAGCCTATAGAGGAAAGACCTCTATAACAAAAAGTATACTAATCTGATGAGAGGACATTAGCAAATGGAAAGATATCCTGTCCTGAATATACAGAATCAATATTGTTAAATGGACATAATACCAAAAATGATATACAGACTTAATTCAATTCCAATCAAAATGTCAATGGCATTCTTCACAGAACTTTAAAAACCAATTCTTAAAACTGACATGGAATTGGAAAGATTCAGAATAACCAAAGCAATTCTAAGGAAAAAGAGCAAAGCGTTATAGTCCTGGATTTCAAGTTATAGTACAGAGCTATAGTAAAGGCAATACAGAAATAGCTACAGCAATAAAAACAGTATTAGCACAAAAAAAATATATATATATATACAGACCAATGGGACAGAGGACAAAGAAACAGTCCTGTCTACCATATATTCTTTGACAAAGGGCTAAAAACAAACACTGGAGAAAAGGTAGTCTCTAACAAATGGTGCTGAGAAAACTGGTTTTTCATGTGCAGAAGCATGAATCTAGGCCTACTGCTTTCACCATGTACAAAAATCAAAAGAAAATGGATCAAAAACCTAGATTTTAAAAAAAGACATGCCGAATCTGCTGGAATCAATCAATAGAGAAAACAGTGGAAGACATACCCTACCCTTCTTAAACAGAACTCTAATTACACACAAAGTAATACTAAGAAATAACAAATGGGATTAAACTTCTGTATGAAAAAGAAAACAGTATGAAGAGATAACTTACAAAAGGTGAACAAATTCCTGTCAGCTACTCTTCTGATACAGAACTAACATCTAGAATATATAAAGAACTCAAGAAAAATCAGATCCCAAAAAAACAAATGACCCAATTAAAAAATGGGCAAATGAAATGAATATTTCTCAAAAGAAGAGCCAAAAAAAGTACATGAAAAACTATTCAATATCTTTGGCCATTAAAGAAATGCAAATCAAAATAATTCTGAGACTTCATCTTACTCCAGAAAGAATGGCTATTATCAAGGATACACGTGTGTGCGTGTGTGCACACATACAGATCTAAAGGGTGCTCTCTACATCTTTATTGGGAAACTAAACTAGTACAACCACTATGGAAGTCAGTATAAATAATTCCTCAAAGAACTAAAACTAGAAATTTCATTTGATCCACCCATACCCCTCCTGGGTATCTTCCCGAAGGAACTGAAGGCATCATACTAGTGATAGATGCGTATGAACATTTAGACCAGTGCAATTCATAATAGTTATATAATGGAAACAGCCTAGATGCTGAACAACAGATGAGATAAAGAAAATGTGGTCTATATACACAGTAGAGTATTACTCAGTCACAAACAAGGATAAATTTGAGTCACTTGTAGGAAAATGAATTTTGAGACTATAATCTTTTTTGTTGTTTTGTATTTTGAGTCAAAGTCTCACCATGTGAACTCTAGTTCTACTAGTCTTGAACTCACTATGTAGCCCAAGCTGGCCTCAAACTAAAAGCAGCCATCTTGCCTCAGTCTCCCAAATTCTGGGATTACAGGTATGTGTGACCATGCCCAGCTGAGAATATAACCTTAAGTAAAATAAATTACAGATGGTTAAGTACTGCATGATTTGTCCAATATGAAAAACACAAAATAAAAGCATAAAATAAGAGAAATGGGAGGAAACAAGGAGACAAATACTTTGGAAATGGGGAAGTCAGGGGAGAGAGGAGAGAAGAAGGTGGGAAGAATCAAAACTCAAGCAATGATATATTTATACACTACTTCCCCAAAACAAATATAACACATTGCAAACATATAGAACAAAAAAAAAAAAATCTATTAAGAGGGCAAATTACAGCCTCAGATAACACTAAATTGATGTCCAAATATTATTATCTACTAATAAAGTAAATCTGGAATTTTAATAAAACAGGCAAATTTATAAATGTTATTGAAATTTGGGATTTATGGCTAATATAAGTACAATGGCACTGGGTAATAAAAAGATACCTTTGTATAAGGAATTTACAAACCTAGTGGGTAAAAAAAAGGGTACAGAACTAAAAGGTAAAAATAGATACAGAGAACTGAGCTCAACAGAGGTGCAGCATATACCACAACCACCTAATCAGATGTTAGATACAGATAAGGAAACCTCTCAGAGACTATGCAACAAATGAAACAGAGTATTTATAAGAATACTTCCATTATCTGATTTACTATAGCCCACATTAGAGGTAAGCTTTTTGTTTACTGCCATATCTTGAGGGCCTGAATAATATCAGACACAAGGCAGGTAATCAAAATTTGTTGAATTAATGTATATGTCAGCTGGAAGTATCATTCTGCTATAGGCAAATTCATATTATTCTCAAAATGGAGTAAAACAAAAGGAGGATATTACTGCTTTGGCCTTAATTCTGTGAATGACATTTCTTTCCAATCTGCCAATGGCTTCTCAGAATTACAAATCTTGCTGGACAAAATGGAGGCCATTCCAAGAAAAAAAGATTAAAAGCAGTAATGCTGTGATTATTAAATTTGATGCTAACTTGACTTGCTTGAGTAACCCCACCTAGCAAATGAATGAAGTTCTGTGTGTGCCTATGCATGACTGACATATGTAGGCAATAAAATGAGAGAAGGACCCAATCCTAGATATGTGTAGCATCAGCCAATAAGCCTGTAGCCACAATGAAATCAAATGGAAAGATGAAAGAAGTCTGCCTTTTTTCTTCAAAGAAGCGCTGGTTTTCAGCCCTGCCTTTAGAAGTTGTTCCTCAATTCCATCACACTACTAATGCAGACTCTTCAGCTTGCTAACAGACTCACACTGGGGTCTGCAAAACACCTAAGACCTTCAACCTTCACGCTACAGCCTCCTCCAGCTCTCTAGCCCACAGAATGCTATTTTGGGGTTTCCATCTCTGACTCCAGAAAAGGCCACTGAGACACCTTCTCTTGATGCTATAAGCCTACCTAATAAAGCTCTCATATTACTATATTTTTCATTTCCTTTCCCTCTAGTGAACCCTAAGATAAATGCTATGGCATACTTTGCTAAAAATCAGGAATAATGACTTCAGTGTGCCCAGATCAGGGAATAAATGTACTGGGCAGAAGGAGTAAAGAATGACAGATGACACTATAAAGATTGGTGAGCATTCTGCAAAAAAGCCTGTAGACATCCAAAATATTCACTGTACAACCCTGTAAGGATTTAAAGCCAAGAAAATACATTGTTGCTTTGTATTTTAGAACAATAATTTTGGCAGTGGTATGAAGAAGTTAAACTACCACTGTTTACGGATGACATGATACTCTACACAGAAGACATCAGCAACTCCACTAAAAACCTGCTTGATTTAATAAACAAATTC